AGGGCAACAGCCACCGAAACAGCAGAAGACACCATGGGAACGTGTACCAGGATGAACCCCAATATCAGCAGCACATCCGACAACCATCTCTTTGAAGCAACRAGGGAATGAACAAAAAGATTTAAAACACGTTAAAAAAGTTAATGCACCTTTTGCTATTCCAGAAAACTACAACCATCAAGAGCATGAATTAAACCATATACTATTTTAAAGCCATTTTGCTGTGGTATTTTCACTTATCCTCCATACTTAAAGTTTATTCTTCCCCCTTTTTTGCTCCTAATTTTCTCTTAAAGCAACTAAAATGTTATTACTTTGGGTGTTTGAGCTCTACTAATATTGCTGTGGATGTACTACCATATAGTTTTGGCAGGTGTTTTAACTTAGTCCACCTGAGTAATACTCTAGTAAAATTTACCAAAGATGAGTTAATTTGCTTCTCCTGCCACAAAAAAAGAGAGACTTTCTAGAGGATGCAGAAGAAGCCAGGAAGGAGAATGATTCCTCTCCAAGGTAACTTGTCTTAAAATGAAATAATCACTAAAAAAAAAAAGAAAGAAAAAGACACCCAAACCAAAAAATCAAATGCTGAGAGCTGCCTGCATAGCATGCATCCAAACTAACTGAACAGCTCCACATTTTTWTTCTCCATTTGCATCAACCAACCAGGAAAAAAGAAATCTGCAGATACTTGCAGCATTGATTCTCAAAAATAAAAAGCTCATCATTATACTACATATATAAACCCCTCAAAAATAAGCCTAGAAAGGAGGGCAGAAAAGTTTTCCAAGGTGCTAGCTAGGAGCTACTAGTGCCCTGTCACCTCCTACTTTGTTTGGTTGGACAAAGTCTCCATCCCACCACACTGCCACATGCTTTACATATTTTATCTTCTCCTCCTTTCAGGCAATATTCTGAAATTTTAAAAATTACTCACTTAAAAACAGTGGCAAAGCATATTTCCAACTCCCTTAAGAAAATAATAATAAGCAAGGGAAAAATGCTTCAAATTCAACCCTTTCCAACACGCTATGTTCACAAGAAACTGCCCAGCTAGATCTTGCCTGACCCTGGAGTAGACGAAGCTTAAGAYACTGTGGAAAGTTCTTCTAGTTTCCCAGTCTATCAGAGACCTTTCCAAGGGGAAAAGGCTTCACCGCTGTGAAGGTTTATTCCAAAATAACCCCCTCACTAGCAGCTAAAATACCAATTTCATTCATTTGAAGCTGTGATGGGAGGGAAAGCCCACGAGCGCTGCCAGCTGTAAGGTCTTGCAGGCACATGATGAGTCAAACACCCAGCACCTAAACAGGAAGCCAAAAACTTCACAGAAAAGCAGAAGCTGCACTGGAAAGAGTCTTCAAGTGGATTCCCATCGYGTCAGGCACCTGTTCTGCCTCACGTTACGCTGCAACTTTCCACACGGGAACTAATCCAGGCCTAAAGAATAGTTAAATCTGACAGGAGGGATGATGGAAATTGGCCATAGGAAAGYATAATCCCTTCAATACCTGTCTCTGTGGTTGTGGCAGGGATGTTTTGTCTTCCTCAAAGGTGAGGATCTAGAGATGCTCTTGAGTAAATCTAATCGCCAATGGCTACTGCTTCTCCAAAAGCAAGTCCAAAAATGCTACCCACCAGCTGAAATTTCAACCGAGGCATCACAAAGGAAGCTCTTGCCAATGTTTAGGCTTGCCCACAAGCTTACGGAGAGCAGCAGTAACGTGGACACGGCTCCTTTGTGGAAAGGCAGCCCTGCAGCTGCACGGAGAAGGGGAACCGGGATAACACCGGCCTGCAGAGAGGGCCTGCCCTTCCTCCCTAGAGCAGCCAAGCTGAGGAGGAGGAGCACAGTGCAAACAAGCTGGCACGGGACAGGACTCTCCGGACGTGATTCTGAGACTGGAACCTTCTCCCTCTCTCACCAGGTGGGACATTTCAAAGCCTGACAACTCCTAGTTGGGAAAACACAACAATTTACACAAAAAATGCAAGCCAGATACAGAACCGGGGCCAACACCAGCATTTCAACGGCAGGCACCGTGCACCACACCAGCCARAAAACAAACACTTAAATGCACATTATTTTCCACATCAAAGCGTGACTTGACATGAAATGGCACTTGAGGACCTCAGGASGCTCGGGGAGCACAAGGCTTGCACAGAACCAGCCACGGAGCTCTGGTCGCCTGGAACACCCGGTCCCCACCGAGCGAGCTCACCCGGTGCTCCGATATTCTCGGGTCAAAACACTCAGGATTTCTTCCCACCTGTATTAAAATGCAAACATGGAGTAATCTCACAGCACAGCATCCTCAAGGCACCCTAATTCTAAATATCGAGGTGCACTAGGGGTCCTTAGGGAAGGCTGTATGAAAAATATATATGGAAAAATACATAAAAGGTGGGGAAAAAAAGAAAAAAAAAAACAGAATTCAGAGGCAGCTGCTATTAGCAAGATACAGGCCTATATTCAGGTTCCTACAGCTTTTCCAATTACCTGAGGAATGAAATTAGCAGCATCAAAGCCCTTAAACATTTATCCTGAGGTTATTTAGGAAGTAAAGCGGATTTAGTAGCGTAGCCTCCTCAACACAAATGAAAGATTCACTTAATGAACATATATGTGTGTTTTAAAGGTGTTTTTTTAACACTTTTTAGGTAAGATCCGCCATATGGAGACAAAGCATCCCCCCCATGCGCTCCAGGAAGGAAACAGCAGCAGGTGTTTGGGGAAAAACAGCCCCGTTTGGGGCACTGCCGGGCATCGTCCCGCGCGGGCCCGAGGGGACCCCGTGACCTCGGCGTGTTTCTGCTGCTCTCGTTTTGGTGCGAYTGGCCCCAAAAGAACCGACTCCTGGGCCTGCCGGGGAGGCGGAAAGCGGGACAGGAGGTTTGGATACGGGCGGGTGTTTTTCCACCTGCTTCGGCGCCGATCCTGGCGCGCGGGACCCAACGGCAGAGCCGAGGGAGGAGGCGGCCGGTACCGGGCGGTACCGGGTCACGGGCTCCGCTGGGCCACGGGGCTCCGTGGCGGGCCCCGGSAGCAGGCCGAGGCGCCGGGCCGGGCCGGGATGGAGGGAGCGGCGGCTCCGGGCGGCCCTCGGTTCCGCCCAGCTCGGGGCGGCGAGGCGCGGGGGGCGGCGCGGGCGGACGAGGCCTCGAGGCCGCGGCGGCCCCGGGCGGCCCTTCCGCCTCGCTCGGGCGGCGCCGCGGAGCCCGGCGCGGCCGGCGGGGGGGAAGCGGCGGCGCAGGGCGCCACAAAGGGCGGAAGAGGCGGCGGCGGCGGCAGGTGGGCGCGGGCCAGGCCGCGGGCACTCACCGGGCGGCCGCCTGCGGAGACGGCGCGGGGCAGGGCCGGGGGGGAGCGGGCGGGCCGCGGCCACCTCACGGCGCCTCCTGCGATGGCGGCGGGACCCACCGAGGCGGCGGCGGCGGCAGGAGCCGGAGGGGGAAGCGGAACCGCCGCGCGCGGCCACAGCCCGCGAGGGCGGGCAGGAGGCGGGGCGCCGCCGAGAGAAGACTACAACTCCCGGCGCGCAGCGCGGCGCCGCCGGAAGCCGGAGCGTCGGCGAGGCGCGCGCGGGGCACCATGGGAGATGTAGTCTGGGCGGCCCCAGCGCCACCCGCTCTCACCCCCTCCCTCTCCCTGCCCTGCACCGGCTTCCAAGGCGGTATCCCCGATATTTGCCAGAGCCAAGAAAACACCACATCCCCAAAAACCCTCAGAGAGCACACGTGCACATCCCTAAAACAGCCCCTCGTCTTATTTTGCCATAGTCCTCTTTCACTCATCACAAGCAAAATTGCAATTTCCTTGCCTGGACTTGTCCCTCAAGCCACTTGTTTCACCCAAGTGCTTCAAATTCCCTTTCAAATCAAGGATTTCAATCCAAGGCCTTTCAAATGATATTATCCACCACCGAGGAGAGAAAGAATAAATAACTAAMTAAATAAATAAATAAATAAGCGAGCTTTTGGAAGCAAAAGACCTGCCAGAGGCGGGTAGTGATGCGTTCTGCATTACCCGCCTTGTGTTTGAGGGAGCACAAGAACCACCTCAGTTTGGGGGGAATAAGAACAAAAACGCCTCCCGCTCAGCCCCCAGGGTTACGCTGCTGCTTCCCAGCCCCGCCGTGTCACGGCTCGCTCCGTCACCGGGTGCCTCCGCGCCTGTTCCCGGGCAGACGCGGCGGCGTCACGCGGCCCGGCGCCAGCGGCGAGCGGGCAGAACAAGGGGCCAGTGTGAGGGCGGCCGCCAACCTGCGCCGCGCCGAGTCAYGAGACGGGCCTCCCGGCACCGCACAACCGGAGCGGGCAAGGACGGGACGTCCCGGACGTGCCGAGGCGCGAGCTGCACCACAAGGAAAAGCCGGGGCTGCCCAGCAGATGCCTGGGCTGCACGGAAAGGCCTCGGAAGGAAGGCAGAATTTGAAAGCATGGAATTTCTTTCACCTCCCCCAACACAAAAATCACCTGCTTTTAATAATTCCGAGTTTATAAGGAATAAAATCTGGGGTTTTTTTTGCAATTATTTTGAGCTCACAACGCCACCTACTGACAACAAGCTACCCTGTCAATCCCGAGCCACTCAGTTTTTCCATTAGTGAAGTAATTTCCTCTCCATTTCCTTGTATTTATCAAGCGCTCCCATGACCAACTGCAAGTCTTCTAAATATTTGCCTCTACTTAGGATCTCTTTACCAGCCCTTGTCTTCTAAGGACTGTTTGTCCACATTTAGAAACAGAGTGCCTTTTTTTTTTTTTTTAACCTCAAATTTTCCAAGCCTTCATTCAGTCAGATTTGAACAAGTCAGGAAACCTCTGCTTTTGCATTAAAAATAAAAATAAAAATAAAAATAAAAATAAAAATAAAAATAAAAATAAAAATAAAAATAAAAATAAAAATAGTGGAAAATGCAGGGGAAGGGAAGCAGGTCTTGAACTGTCCCAAGCAAGCAAGCACAGAATTGTCTCCTCACAAGCTCACAGATAACCAAGCTGAACTGTGTAAACAAGCTTAAAATTCAGAAACTTTAATGACTCTATAATGTTCCTCATATCCTTAATAATCAGTGCCTCAGTTGGTTCATTTAAATTCAAGTAATACAAACATAAAAAAAAAAAATAGGCTGACAGAACCATAATCCATTACAGAACCCACACACACTGCCAAAATATAAATAACATTAGAGTAGGATTCCTTTAGGATACAGATGCAACCAATATTCTTAGTTTTCCTGCCTTTGGCTCCATCACTCCATACTTTTCTACTTCTGTTCTGAGCAAATCTCCAGAGAGAAGTGTCCGTATCTGCAGGCGGCTGTAAGGATCATGCTGGAACAGAGGACCGTGGCCAGAAGGGTCAGGACACACACCAAAAATGCATGTTGTCTGTGCCCCACTGGAATCTGCATGAATTCCTCATTTGCCTACAAAGGAAAACAAGTTAAAACATGTATTTAACAAGCTATTTATTTTCGACTGCAACTCTTTCACACTTCAAAGGTGATTGTTGACCACGCTTAAGATTCAATGTTACCTGTCTTAGAACTCAGAATAAAGAAGCTTCATGTTTCTTAGACACTTTGCCAATCAAATAACAACCAGATCATCAGAATTGGCCTTTTTAGATACAATTTCTTAAGAATTTGGGGGTTTATCCACCTTTTTCAATCAGATAACACTTTTCCAYCTTTTCCACTTTGTTATTTGTCTGAAGCACCTGTACTGCCAAGGCCCTTCTTGAATCAACCAGTGTCAACTGCATCCTCATATTCCCACAAAACTATTAAAGAAAACAAAATAAAAACACAAACAAACAAACAACAACCCTACCATCAAGGGGTAGAACACAGAAAATGATTACAGACATGTCAGAATGATGCCTCCTAGAAGAAGGCATCAGAAGAAAACAGCCTTCATAAGGAAGGATCTCACAAGGAGCTTTCTACTGATTAGTTCCCATGCTCCAGAACACGCTCATCAGAAAGAAGCCATAAYTGGTAAATGAGAACCAAGGATTTTTAGCAGAAATCAGGACTCACGGGTTTATGCTTTACGCTGTACCACTGACAGGGGTAGCTGCTTCTCCCCAAACAGGTAGCTTCCACCTCAGAAGGTTTCCAACACTCAGTTGACAGGTGATCTACAGAAGACAGGAACGTGTCATCAAAAATTCAGTTGAGACGAAGCCACRTGGCCTGCAAGACTTCTCCAAATGGGGTATCTTTCCTTCAACAGCTTGACAGCAGCAACTCACTAAAAATCAAAAGGTGAAATAACAGGTAGTGAACAAAATGTACCAAATAAGCTCCATGTTCAAAGTAATGCTGAAAGTTTTTTCAAGGAATTTTCTACCTCTCTTGTTCCCCAGATATCAGGAGTCCACGCAAGAATTCATGTGATATTAAGGCCCCTTTGTCCTTAATAAAGTAAAGGATTCATCACTGGTCAGGAAACCTCCCCAAACTCAGCCATGAAGCTACAATTTCTCTTTCTGCAGGACAGAAAAATGACATTCTTGTTTCTGCTGGTTGGCAGCCCGCTGTCACAGGTGAGGACTTGCCTCACTGACTTTAAACATTCTTACATTAGTAACAAGTAGGTTTTGGGCTCACATATGACACAGAAAAACTTAATGGTTCATAACACTTTGTTATTAACCAGGCATCCCTCTCTCCCTTTTCCCAGAAAATAATTGCTCAAATAATGCTCAAGAATCTGAGTTGCATCRGAACGTTTGAATTAAAACATTTGGCAGCTAGAGAAGAATTTCATAAAAGGAAACACCATTTGTAGCAAAAAGGGGGCATTTTGTTGGTTGCCTAACTTAAAGTATTACTTTTCAGTGAATAATAGATTCACGTTTCACACAAGTCTGAGACTCCAATCATTACACCCTTCTGAAAGGCAGTTTTCTACATTTTTCCCTATACAAACACAAGAGGAGAGGGTTACAAAAAAATCCTGTATGCCTGTTAATAATTWAATTAWTAATTWATCTGCTTTTGGTCAGGCAGCAGCAGCATTCATCCTAATATACAATATACATCCTAATACAGCAAATGCAAAGCGAAAGACGATGGGCCTTTTATTAAAGCCCCCATCTTCCTGCTGTTTTCATGCGACTGGTATGAGTTCCAGTTCAAAGCAGACCCAGATCCCACAATTATTCCCCTCTTCCCCCAGAGTAAGTGCAAGGAGAAGCTCACTGTCACAGCAGCAAATCAGTATTTCTGGACTCTTCAGAGCAACCAGGACTGCACTGKTGTTTTCTGCTGGCCGGTGGTACCGTCCATGCACTGGCAAAGTGGCTGTAAAGCAATGGGAGCACCGCGGGTCGGGGTTCAYGTACAGAAGAACAAGCAGCTCCGCAGCCAAGTACTCAGGTGCCTCCACATCAACAGCATCGGGAATTACTAGCGCCTGCGAGCAGAGAAACACATGGACATGGGTGCCCCAAAACCAACACGGGGGAAAAAACACAGTTTTATGATTGTTTCTTAAATAGCAAAATAGCAGGAGGTAGGAAGCACTGTCTAGACCTGATTTAAAGAGGGAGAACTGAGGACTGGCAATTTGGGTAGTCCATCGTGGAGTTCAGAGTTCAACCTAAATCTCTCCATACTGTTTTGGCACTTGAATTGCACGGTAGTTTTCCTGGCAAAGGATCCCAGCTCAGTTCTTAAAAAAATAAAATAAAATAAAATAAAATAAAATAAAATAAAATAAAATAAAATAAAATAAAATAAAATAAAATAAAATAAAATAAAATAAAATACTTCTCTTCCACTTGCTCAAATTGTCTGCTTTTCCTTATTCCCAACCCCTTCTCTGGAGCACCAGGAAAAAGCGTTCCCTGAGACATGTGGGTTTAAAACAGGCAACATTTCTAATGTGAATGAATTAGTATCTTTTCCAGAATTTCTTTCTCTGGTTCCATATTATTCTAGAATTATAATAATATCAAGACTTGCCAGGGCACATATCTATTTGTCTCAAATTCAGAAAAAGCTACTGCCCATAACAGTGCATCAGAGAGTCTCCCAAACTTATTTGTGACTACAAAACTCAGACAACACTCCACAGAATGTAGCTAGATGCTGGAAAATGCCTGTCTAATTATAAATAACAAATTATTACAACAAAATTCTCAGAACTACCTTCCTCATCGTCCTCATTTCAAACACCAGGCCTGGATCCATGTCAAGAGCATCAGATCCTAAGTTCTGTCCTTGAGCTGCTCTAAAATTTTTCAATTCCCCATCCAAGGAATTATCCTTAAAACTGGAGTGTTTACAATGCCAGCAGGCCACTAATAAGGGTGGAATGATACACACAAGCATCAGCACTGGAAGTTGTCAAGCACCTTTGTATTCACGCACTTTAAGAACTAAATGAGAGTCCCTTGGCCCTTCTCTCTTCCCCAAATTTGAATGTAAATACTGGAAAGCAACAGAGAAAGCTGTGATGAAATAGAAACTATTCAAACTGCATCAGTGAAGTCATTGCTTTGCTCYTTGAAAGACTTTGCAACTTGCTGTAGTGTCTCGATAAAGAGACCAARCAGATAAGTGACATAAAATATTCCCTACATCGAGGAGGGCTGACAAGGCTCAAAGACACGAGGAAAAGCCAACAGTCTGACACTCGGCAGCACCTCCTTTCCCAACTCATCTCAACTTTGGGGGCTCGTTACCTTTGTGAGGTTGTGGCGCTGCAGCGACGCCAGCTCGTAGGGATCCACGTAGATTCCTGGTGGAAGGCGAGTCCGAGCTGCCACTGTGCATCCCCCCAGATCCTCCTTGGTTACACCAAGCTCCACCTGCAGCAAAAGGTCCCTTAAAACAAACAAAGGCAGCAAAATGGTCACAGCTGCATTTCCAAGCATGTCACCAAACTTTCTCTTCCCCTCCCAAAAAAGACATGCTCCAAGTGCACAGCAATTTGATGTATTCTTGTGTATTTTTACTACACGATATATACCCAGAATTTGGGTCTCTAGCCAGGACAACAATCCTGCTCTTCTACAGAACTCACAATATCCCTGCTGATAGGACTCACTGAGGTGATACAACCATACAGGGAACCTAAAGCAGCTTCTTCACCCACTGAATCAAAACACAGACTATTCTGACAGTGCCCCGGCGCAGCAGCTTACCTGTGAAATCCCTCCTGCAGAAGCTGTTGGGTGACCACCGCATCCCGACACACAGCCTGCGCACCTAAAACATTTTTAYTCACTTTATTTACTGACTTCAGTTTTGTTTACACTATTTCTTATTTATTTACACACAGGCAGTCTGCTTTGATCACCCAGCACTTGAAAGGAAGCCCAAACTGGGCTGGGCTCTAGCCAAGAGCAGCTCGCACAGACCCCAGGGCAAGGCCGCTGCCTCCCGGCCCCGCGCAGCACCTGGCGAGACCTCGAGGCCTTCGCARCCCACGCAGCGGCGCCTTCGCTGCGGCTCTGATCTCCCCCACGGCCCCAGCAAGCGCCCACAAGGCGCGCCGGGCGAGCGGGAACGACAACCCGCCCAATGAGCCTCCAAATGACCCCGCACTCACACAGGCCGCCGGCCGGGCACAGCAGCAGCGCCGCCATCGCAGCCGCCATCGCGACCCGCAGCGCCGCCATCGCAGCCGCCCGCCCTCTCCCTCAGGCGCTCCTCGCTGGGGGCCTCCACCCGAGTGGGGAGCCCGCGCCCGTTGAGGACATGCCATAGCGAACGCCTGCTCTCCCTCCTCCCACTTCCCCTCAGTTTGCGGCGCCAGTGCGATCTGTGCCAAAAAAGTCTCCCCGCCCTTCATCTTAACGGCTGTGCTGTCCCTGAGAACGGCTCCCGAGAGGCACAGCCCTCCGGAATSCTCCCTCGGGTTTTCAGGCAGTGTTGTAGGCAGCCCGTAAGGGGGCCTTCGGAGAGGTGGGCGGGGGGTCTATCGGCGGGGCCGTCCCCATGGCAACGTCGCGGGCCGCGGCGCCCTGCGCCTCAGGCAGCGGGCGGTAAACAGTAAGAACAAATAACAGCAGCGAAACGGGCAATAATAATAACAACAATAATATACTTTTCGAACTGCAAATGTTTCTTTCACGTCATTTACGGTCTAAGAAGGCAGGGGAGAAAAAACGGAAAAGGGGCCTCCCTCTTTAGGCCCGTGAAGCGCCGCGGTTTCCCCCGCGCGGCGCCCGGCCCGGCCCGGCCGCTCCTCGGGAGCCTCTTTGACCCCGCTCCCGTGGGTCTGGACCACGTATTTCAACGTGTTTATATATATATATATATATATATATATATATATATATAGGTATATATATAGGTATCTATATAGGTATCTATATATATAGAGAGAGAGAGATATATAGATATATATAGATATATATAGGTTAGATATTTGAACTCTTCTGCACATGGCTTTCCACAGGCACGGAGGACTGAATTTTTAAACTCAGCTTAGAAGCAGGTCTTAAGCGTTAACACTGTCTTTATCTACAGATGGCTCGCTTATTTATTTATTTCCTTATTGAGGCTTCTGATGCTGGCTTTGTTGGCTTTCCGCAGGCTCTGGTGCAGCCGTGGTAGGAGACAACCAGATTTTTTGACGTTTTTTGCTTGCTTGAAAGCAAAAGGGAAGTAGCGTCTGCTTTCGGCGTTGCACACAAAAAYGGGAAGGGGCTCTGCAGCATTCCTGATCTCTACATCCCCTCTAATATGTCAGTGAGTCAAAAGGGATCAGAGCCTAGGGCRTATGGACAGCTGTCACAAAGCAGAAAAAGACAAAAATCCGACTTGCGTTCGGTCTTTCTGGTTGCATAACAAACAGCACAGCTTATCACTTCTGAATTTTCTCAAATTCTTGGWCCTTGTGACCACTATGTACATATAAATTCCGCTAAAAGTAATCTGCCCTGTTAAAAAAGCATTTCTACCTGTCACTTGTTCCTGGCTTTTCAGGGTCATTGATGGGGTATTCTAGTTAGAGAAGAATTAAACAATTAAATTTTGTCTCTATTTCAAATGACTGCGAATGTTCAGCGGTCCCTACTTGGATCCCAGGGATTTTTTTTCCCCACATTCCTGAATTTGTTATTATTCCCTCTGTCATAAGTTTCTTTATGTTTCTTTACTGAGATGACTCTGAAACTGGAAGCAAGTTTTACAAGACCTGACTGGATGTCTCTCTGTTTGTAATCTTTTTTTTTTTAAGTAGACAAGTTCTCCCTTATTATGTTAAATAAAGAAATAAAGAATATGATATCTTCAAGTTTGTGACAGACACAAAAACAGGTGAAGGAAATTTGAACTGTATTAGCAAATTTGTGTCCTTTCAAAGTAATATAAAATAGATCGTAGAACCCTGTCTTTGTTATATTTCCTGCAACTTCTCAATTTATATAATAAATTTGGAGAAACTGTTTTGGTGAAATGCTGAGATATTTCAATTTTCATTTTATATTTATTTTCCAATTTTTTTTTTATATGCAAGTATACAAGGAGAAATATACTTTATTATCTTTACAGAAAAAATAAAGGATTCTCACCTTGAGCTTTCATATAAACAAAACTATCAGGTGAGATACAAAGTTAAAAGCATGGTGGTTAGAGAAGAAAAGGATTTGGGAGTTGAGCAAATCACAGGCTTTCCCAGAGCAATCAGTATAATCTGCAGTAAAAAGTTGTTTGTGAAGAAAGTGTAATATTTGTTTTATTATTATTATTTAAAAAAAAAAATGCTTTAAAACTGCACCTTTTAGTTAGCATTTGACTATGCAGTATTTTGCTTAGCTGGTAGACTCAAAACTRTAACTGTGTCTTACTCAACCCAGATGCAGAGGCCGAGCAGTGACAAGTGTGCAAATGAGCAGCTGAGAATCATGCTCAGAGAACAGGTAGGAACACGCTCGGGTTCTGTGGAAATCAGGGATTCTTACACCGTGGCCGAATGTTTCTGCTGCCTTTGGGTCACTAATGCCTGTAAAGGCTGCGTCTAAAATACATTACTTTTAAGAGCAGAACCTGGGGACACTCTCACTATTTTCTTTTTTTTTTTTCCTCAGTGAGTACCCAAGCCCCCCAGAGTGTCTCTTAAAACCCAATACTTCAGCCGGTAGCAAGAGCCGTTATGACTTATGTTGCAAAGAAGTGTGGCATTTGCTTCCAGCCTCCTGCCATCGTCCTCATCTACAAGGACGAAGACAAGGACAAAACTCGCCAGCGTATCATGCCTATCCGAAATTTCTCCAAGTTCTCAGGTGTGGTATGTTCACTTGCAGCATGTCTTAGATCCAGTAAAATGAGAAAGCAGGAATGGCTTCCTTATCCACTTATTTTTAGTGACTCTTGAGCTGCTTTTTGCCAGCAGGAGCTGCGGAGCTCCAGGCTGCATCCTAAAGTGAGCAGCAGCACTGCTAAGTTGGGATGTCTTGCRTGTGAGGGCTTAGGAAAAGTGGATGTATTTATATAATGAGTTGCTTGCAGCTGTAATTCTGTATGCTGATCTTCTCTTTAGACTGTAGCAGAGCGGCTGAGCAGCTGAAGAACAACCCTCGACACAAAGCTTACCTGGAAGGAGTCTCGCTGCGTCAGCTGGAGAAGTTCTATGGTTTGCTGAAAGGTCATTTGGGAGGACAGAGTCTAGCTGAGAGCTTGGAACAGATTCGTCGGGAAGAGACCATCGACCCAGAAGAGGATATGAACAAATTAGATGATAAAGAGCTAGCCAAAAGGAAGAGCATCATGGACGAGCTCTTTGAAAAGAACAGGAAGAAGAAAGATGATCCAGATTTTGTCTACAATGTTGAGGTTGAGTTTCCACAGGATGAGCAGCTGGAGTCCTGTGGTTGGGATGTGGAATCAGGTGAAGAAATCTGATTTTGGGAAAAGAGGGACAGTTCAGGGAGAAAATCTACATTTCTCACGGAGAAAATAACATTCATCTATCACTTGTTTACATTTCATTTCAATCAGCTTTGGCAGAACACCTGACTTGCATCACAGCTTGCATCGCTGTGTTCTATTCAGCTTCATCTTAAAAAGAAGTGTTAAATATTTCTATCTTGAAAGCAATGTTCACATTCACTGCATAGCTGTAGTATTTATTGTTGCTTGTTGGAATGATAACTATATATTAGTCTGTTTTCTGGATAAATTAACATTGCAATGAGAATATTACTTTCACAGTTTCCTGAGTGATGCTCAAGTCTGCAGCCAACGGTTGCACAAATATAAGTTCTTAYATTTAAGAAGCAGAACGTTTAGAATGAAAGTTAGTTCTGACAGTGCAGTTTAAGACCCAGGGTTGTGAATTAATAAGGTGTTTTCCTTAAATGACTAAATGATTTTCCATCAGTACATGCTCGGCCCTGGGAAAATGTGCTTGTGTTATCCGAGGAACGTTGAGTTGAGGACTTTCTAGAAAATTGTGTGACAGCAGAAGCTTCCCACATTTTGACCACCTGAACTCAGTTGGATTGTGAGGGGTCCAAGAGGAGTCAGGGCCTTCATCTCAAGTTAAATATCATCAAACAAACAGCTGCCTGAGGTAACTAAAGAGAGGTGCAAATTGCCCCTGAGACTGATTTATTTCCTCTCCTTCCTCCTTCTACAACTACGTTCTACAAATGGATTAAAACATTCCAGACTTGGTCAATAAGACTTTCATAGCACTGACATTGGTACCTGGAATAGTTCTCTTCCTACAAATGGAAATGACAGAATCGGTCCTATGAAAATTGTAAAATCATAATTTAAATCAGGGTGCTCTGGAGCAGATGAGTGAGCTTTAGTTTGTCCAATGCAGTCTCTATTTCAGAAGAGAAACAAAAATTGATGTCTCGTTTGCCAAAAATTAATAAAATAAACCCTGGTTCATCTCATTTGCTAATGGATGGCACAGGCATATATCTGGAACAATCAATTCTTTCTCCTYCTCAGCCCAAAACTGCAACAGAGCAGCAGAAGAAGGTCCTGATGGAGGCTCAGTAGTAAGTCTCGGTGAGTTTGTCTCAACATTGTTCATCTGCTGGTGGTCAGCACAGAAGCTCAGTTCAGTGAGTGAGGTCCCTGCCTCTGCTGCTTTGTGCCACGCACATTAACTTACCTGCTCTCAAGGGGTCACTTCAAGTGCTGACAAATCAGCAAATTTCAGGCCAGTTAGAAAGGTACCTTGGGTTTGTGTCTCGAATAGAAGTAAAGATACCATAACAACAAGTTACAGGAGTTGTAACTGCTTTAACCTTCACTTTATTTTTTCCTAGCACAAGATAAAAAATGTTTCCTGCACTTTGGATGAAATTCCCAGCTGCTGTTTGTGTATCCCCAACTAAGATGCTATCTTCAACATCATATTACTCATATCCTTATGCGTATTCAAAGGGAAAGTTCAGCATAGGAACAGAAAGCCAAACKCTGTCACTCTCAGGGATTGTGACAGACCACAGGAGGGCTTTTCATGTCTGTTCATCTCTGTTTTTTCTCAAGTACCCATCCTCTTCTGTGCTGCGGCAATGTTTGGTAGAAGGATGTCATGGATCACAGTACTTTAGTAGCTGTTAGGTGTCTTTGCACATGTATCTGGCTGTGTTAAATGTCTTCCTTCCCGAAAGATGATTTATTGCTTTCTGCTTCCCATATAGACTCTCTGGTGGTGGGGGAGACATTCAGGCTTCCTTGGCCTACAATTCCAGTAGCATCTGACTCCTCCTTGAACAACTGTGTCAAGATCATCTTTTTTTTCCCTGCCTTGTTAAACAAGCTGAATAAAAATCAGAGTGTTTCCCCAGGACAAGCTTAGTCTTCATGTCAAGGCTTAGATGCAAATGCTTTGGGGTTAAGCAGCACTGGTAAAAGACTTTAAGTTGAATGTGTTTTGGTAACACTGGGAGGTTTTTGGTGTGGAAATGTTCCCTAGCATTTGGTTTGAAGCCCAGGCTTCGTGTTTATCAGTTGCTGTAGAGACACTAAAAACTCCCTTATGAGGGATGTCTGTAATGGATGATCTAAGTGGAGTTTCTCATTTCGGGCTAACCTTTCTACCTGGAACATTACAGAATTACAGTTTAACCAAAATACACATTATTATGCCCATTCTTTGTGCCAAACGCTGACTCCATTGTGCTGAAAGTCATCTAAACCAGCTACACTGCACTGCTGCTTAATGACAGACTGAAARCACGGATCATCTGCAGTTGACATCTCAAAAGATTTATGTGTCCCAAACTTCGGAGACCAAGAATCTCGACCTAACAAAACGGCAAAGAGCATGAGGCTGGSTGCAATTGCAAACGAGAAGTAACAGCAATTGCATGGAGAAAAATGTAAGGAAGAAAGAAAAAAAGCACCATATTAGGAAAAGCTTCATGGCACAATGCAGGACTTGTGAAAACAGCAGTTTTACATTCCAGGAATTTGTTTGGACAAGGCCCTAGGGAAGGCACGAGGAGGCTTTGATCCCCAAACCAGGCACGCAGAGCTTGCGGTGGCTCTTTCCTCCTCCAGCTCCTATAATGCTCCGAGGGACCCAGTGAATTTCCTTGCTGCCTGGTGTCAGCCCTGCCCCAAGGTAAGAAGGTGAACTATTTTCTGCACAAACACCATCCTTATTAGCGGGCACTTGGCTGTTCATCTCTACCAAGGAACATCTCAGCCCCTTGGCTGACTCTGTCTTGCTGGAGGAGGATTTTATGCCCATGACGGCAGGGCACAGCCCGGCGCCCTCGTCCTTTTAACACACACGTCCCTATAATGTGCTCCAGCTGCAAACGTGCCGTGATGAAAACGCATCGAGGAACCGAGGGGGCAGGAAGTGATTTGGCCAGGAGACGAGAAAAAGAGAAACATCTGACGAAAAGAGATTGTGCAGAGAAGTCAGGCTGTTTGCCAACTGCAGGGAGAGGCCCACTGCAAGAGGGAAGGAAAAAAAAAAAAGAGCAGCAGCAGTCGGGAGAAACTTCCAGAAGAGGAAGAGAGTTCTTACCAGCAAAGAGTATTCCTCCCCCAAGAGTATTTCTACCCAGGGGGCCAGACCCAGGCTTTGCCATGGTAGCCACATGTGCCCAGATGGACTTTTGGGGCCATCTGCAAGTCCTCTGCTGTGCACTGGGCTCCTTGCCCTTGGAGATGAGGAACTGCTTCCTCCTCAGCTGGCTAGCACCACAGCAGCCGGGCTCATGGCTCCTAGAAGTACTTTTACCATGAGAAACAAAAAACAACCAAAAAAAAACCCCTTATTTCTATATAATTACCCCTAGATAAGACTTCAGTGATAAAGCTAAGATGTTTTAACACGTTTCCTGTGCGCTCTGGAAGAGCAACACCGAGCCAGCTAAAGCATCTGGAGCCTGCTGCTCTCCTGCATCAGCAAAATCAACCCRAGGGATTCAAATAAACCACATTTGTGCAAAGTTGCTGAAGACAGTGATCATGGTAATGATTAAGTAGTTCAAGTAGTTGGCATGCAAAGCTTTTTTTTTTTTTTAAATAAAAAACTGTTGATGATGCAAGAAAAAGCTCACCTCAGGCTGAATTCACAGAAGAATCCATGTTTCACTTGCCAGCTAAGAAAGCCGGGTCTGGAAGCTGTTCACAGGCAGGGACCATAGAGCCTTACTAGGACTTTTTGTTTTGTTTTCTCCAGAATAAAGCGTGCAAAATGGGAGGACACACACATTTCCTTCCCTTTGGAGAGGATACAGTTTCTGAAAATTATTTATTGCATCCTGGGGCAAGAACACTCATGCTGCTTCCTTTTGCTCTCCAACGTGCTTGGACCTGTTGCATGCTGTTAATACTGTATTACGGCTAAGATTACTAAGATTACTAAGATTTATTTGGCAGATGTTTTTGACAAAGGAACATTAGCACTAGGGACTGAAAMACAGACAGAGGAGGCTGTGATTGATAGAAACATCTCACTCCTTTTGTTTCCCCCGTGCCTCTCCTGGGTTGGACATCTGGAGCTAAACCTTTCCCAGAACATAGCGTGGATGAATTTTGCCTAAGCTGAGCCTTAGGCAATGACTCATCACAGTAAGGAATTAATATTAGGATCTTAAGCATAAAATGCTCTGAATGGGGGAAGAAGGTCAATGGCTAAAAATCTTATCTCAAGCGGCAGAGACCTGAAGTAGCGTAGGGGAAATCATCTCGCTTCTCCTTTCTCTCCTCTGGAGCAAGTACTCATCTGTTGACATTTCCCAGAAAGCAGCTCCATAAATTGCCTGTTATGCCTTTTATAGACCCAATAATCACCTGTGTTAGGCTCCTCCATGCTCTGTCCCTTTGGCAGGTGAACCTGGAACTGGTCAAAAGGGGTGATGAGACCAATAAAGGGACAGACACAGGGATACACTGCACAGGGTCCCACAAGGCTGTTTCCTTGAGCAGCCAGCCTAAGAGGAGAACATTGTGCACCTGAAACAATAGTGTCAAGTTCCTCTGGGTGATTTTTTGTTATCATTTCAAGAGAAAGCAGCTTAGTGCATGGATGGTAAGGTAAATATGGTGTAGTACAGGCTTCAAGAATAACCTGGTTTTCCTGACTTCAATGGAAATAACACCATGCCATGACATGGGCCTCATCGTCATCACTGAYGTCAACGTGCTGGGCATCACCCCATATATAATGAGCTGTTTTTATCTGCTTGTCACATCCTTTGCTGAATGTCTAAAGAAAAATCACACCCCTGAGAGCTTTCTACCACAATGTGCTCTCCTGCGTGTTTACCAGCAGGCCTCTTGCATGACCTCTTCCAACCGCAGCCACTGCAGGCAGACCATGGAGGCAAAACATGAGTTCAGCTGACATGTCCCCAGCTTCTGCAGCCCTCTGTGGGGTGCCTCTTGAGGGTTTTGTCTGAAGGATTCTCCTCTTTGGCAATGTAGGTTTCCTGCCCAAAACTGAGGTGAGGAGCCCAGGGCTTCAGCAGGAGTGCATCRAGCAGGAGCAAGAGGTGACCGGTGTGGGTGGGAGGCAGCACGATGGAAGGAATGGAAGGTAAGCCAGGAGCAGGTGTTTCAGCCCTCAGGYAGCAAATTGCCCCCAGGAAGAGCAGTGAGGAAGCCAGGGATGGGCTACAGAGCTGTATGGGATGAGCTTTGCTCCCCAGCGCCTTCTTGGAGGCCCAGCCTGATGTCTTGCGGTGCCTCTTGCTTGGATGTCCAGCTCGGGTGGTGACAATCCCATCCATCCCGTGTGTGTGAGGGGTAGACATGTGGTCTTCTTTGTCCCCTTTCCTGCTTAGCTGTGAGCTGCCATTCTGCAGCCTGGCATATAGAAGAGAGGCCTTGTATTAATTAAGGATGTGATCCTGCTCAGGGATTTGCCCAAATCCATGCCCAAAGCTGCCCGAGGACAATAATTTGCTAACTCACCACTCCTGCAGCACCTCTTCATGTGCAATATCATCGTRGTCCCAGCAACGCTAGCATTAAACCCTCCAGTGGTTTGTACCAGCCTTGGGCAACCCCATGGATGCACTGCAAGATGGAGAACATCTACAAGAAGAGCCCTGTCCACCAGGATACACTTYGTTCATGAGCTGTGAACGAATCATGTTCCCAAAGACTCAAACCCCAACAGTGCCAGCCTTGCAAGGCGCCCTGGGCCCACACCCCTGTGGCAGCAGACACACSATGCCACCTCTCTCCATGGAGGGAAACCAGCTGACTTCCTCTTCGGAAGCGAGTCACACACAACCCAGTTCCCTGGCGCACTGTGGAAAGTCCCTTCACTGCCTGCCAGGATGCCCCCCTGCCAACCGTGGCCTCGCAGAGCTGCCTGGATGTACCCTCAGCAGCTGGTTCAGACCAAAATGCCCCTCCTTCATAGTGCTGGCAAAAGGARAGAAGCAGAGAAGGGCAGAGCTGCTCCAGGGCCCCCTTCAACCTGAGAAGATCTCCAACCCAAGCCACTCTCCTCAGCAGTGGCCAGTGATAGGACCAGGGGTAATGGGTGTAAGTTGAAACACAGGAAGTTCCGTCTCCAKGTGAGGAGGAACTTCTTGACTGTGAGGGTGACAGAGCCCTGGAACAGGCTGCCCAGGGAGGTTGTGGAGTCTCCTTCYCTGGAGGTCTTCACAACCCGCCTGGATGCCACCCTGTGCCCTGTACCCTGTGTGTCCCTGCTGGAGCAGGAGGGTTGGACTAGATGATCTCTAGAGGTCCCTTCCAACCTCAACCATTCTGTGGTTCAGTGAGTCATGGGCTTTCTCACAGTGCCATGCATCACCCAGGAGCATGGCAGCTCTCTCTGCAGCATTCAGRGCAGGCCGCAGTGCAGGGAGCCTCAGAAAGCTCCCCCCCTTCTTCATATTTTTTCACTCAAAAGTCTTTCCCACCTATTTGCTTTACATGAGCAGCAAAACACCAATTTTATCTAGGTAATCTGGACAGTGCAAAATGCCTTGTTTCCCACACACTTGCATGCCTGAGGCTGCTCCACCACTGTTCCCATGCTGAAAGGAGAAGCAGCAGCCACCCTGCGGCTCTTAGACACGGTGGAGGAAACAAATGCATCTGCCCGATAAGGCAGGACCTGAGCACTTGGGCCTCCTTCCTGGTAGCTACCTGCCTGAGAGAAAAGCAAAGCTGTGAGCATGTGGAAGATGGAGCTCCCAAAGACCCTGGTGRAGGCAGGCAGGCAGAGGAACATCTCTGGTCAGGTCTTCAGGAAAGAGCCTGGGAGGACAACGTGGGGCCAACAGCTGGGAGAGGTGGGATAGCTCCCAGGGCTGGCTTGAGACAATCGGGTGCCCCATGTGTGTTTTCCCCTCAYGAGAAGCACGCAGGCCAGGCTTCACCCGAAGAGCCTCCAAGCAGGGGAGGCAATGCGGCCCACCAGCGCGGCCACCTYGCCCTGGGGAGGAGAGGATGCAGGATGCAAGCACCAGAGAACCGCGAGCGAGAGCTGCGCTCAGCCCTTCAGCATGTGGTTTTCCTGCCTGCCAACCTTCACCGCAGGGCGGCCTCTGGTTGCAAGTAGAGCTCTGCGAGCGCTGGCCCTGAGCGGCTCCCACCCATGGCTGCCCAAGCAGAGGACACCGCTGCCCCGTGGTCAAGGGGACTGTTGGCCTGGTTCGAGCAGTAGCCAAGAGCAAAGTAGGACAAGGCCTCCACAGGCCCCCAGGACAGCAGGTTATCTTCAGCCCAAGGTGGGGGTCAGACAGTTCACCCTGCTCTTCGTGGCTCTTTCCTAGGCCACTATCAGACACCCAGATGTGCACCTCAAGAGCTGCACCCAGAGACCGGAGGACTCCAGTCAATGCTATCATCAAATAACCAACTTGGTCTCCCTGCAGGCACTGTCCTTGCCCGTTGTGTCTCTTCTCAGCTGAGCGCTGAGGACCCGAGCCCTGGAAGATCACAGCCAAACAGCAGCTGCCTCTGCAGCATCCACAGGGCAAAAGTCTGGGTGCACCAGCTGGGGCGGTCTCCCTGGGGCCACCGAGATAGCAGCATGGTCATGGTTGCCAGTGCTGACACAGCTCCACCATCACACACATGTATTTATAGCTCCCCGTTGTCCCTCAAGCCGTACAGCTTGCGGGTAAAAGAAGAGCTGAAATAGGTTGAGGGATTCCCCAGGCTGGGGCCTGATTTCGTTCTGGCTATTTCTGTCTAAAATGTGACCAGAAACAAGCTGTTTCCTAGGCCAGATTTGATATCTGGGTTTCCCTGGCAATTTCCAGCATTCAACCCTACCAGTGCCACCTGGTCATACCGTGATGGAAGCGGTTGAAGAGAAATGTCCTGCTTTGCCCATCCAAGGAAAGCAAGGTGGGAGATGGGCCTCACAGCCCAGAGGACACCCTTGCTGCACAGGGGGACACGGGCGCTCCTCATTCTCCCCCACAAATCCCATGAGCTGCTAAAGCAGACACTGGGAAGCACCTCATCCTGTCCAGGCCTGGTTTCTTTCTCAGCAGTGTGCCTGAGTGTGGCCTCCATGCTCAGAAGTCTCCACACCCAGAGATTATCCTTGCCTGTTATCACGGGTTATCAGCCCCCCTCATTTCTCCCTCCTCTGCTTGGTAGCACCATCCCTCTGCTTCTTGGCTTTGGCTGCCCAGCCCCAGGGTCAGTGTGGGCAGCAGTGTCTGGCTTTGCTCCTGCTTTGGTCAGGAGGTGCTTTTAAGTGCTGAGGGCCTTGCCCTTGCTCTCAGCTTATTTTGCAGGTTCCCCTCATGCTCCTTTAGCTGTTCCATCTCCCTTCAGCACCTCTAAGGACATTTGAAAAGCAGAGAGTGACATGTGGGCTGGCCGAGGAGGCTGTGGTGGCTGGAGTCCAGCTCCACAGCCCCTGAGGAGGACTCGGGCCACCTCTGGTGCACACCACAGCCCCACAYTGAGGCTCTGCTGAGTCAAGGCAAGGACCTCAGGTGCCCAGAGCGCTTGTGCTGGTGCTTGGCCATCCTGCATGCCCGCTTGCTGATTAAACTCGGACACGTTTCACTGGAGAAATCCAACGCCACACCACGGAAGCAAAGATGACACGAGGAGGCCTGAAGATGAGAGGAGGAGGCACCCCAAGCTTCACAGTTAACGCTAACCACCATCGGTTCTCATTTCCACCCACAGTAAACCTCGATTAAGCAGAGAAGCTCTAGGACTTCCCCACACAGCCAACTGCTTTGTAGAGACGCTGGGGAGCCGGTGTCTGCTGYGACCAGGGTTGCTTGTGAGCAGTCGCTCCCACCCTCACACCTGCTTTAATGCAGCAGTTAATTGACAAAAAGAAAGGGCAAGCCAAAGCAATGACAGTACATTAATATATGCACAATATAATTTATTCTTGTATATTTTAGTCAATATTTTCCCTCATTCCTACCTGAGCTGTCTTTAATGGTTCTTCTAGCCAAGATTGTTACTTCAACAGGTTATGACATCCCTAAACACGGTTACTCAGCCATGCCAACACCACCTCTGTTATCAGTGTGCAAACACACGTGTGCACACCCAGGAAATCACCTCCGAGCTGTTACCAAGTGTTTGCTCTTGTTGCTGGCAAGATTTCTGCCAAGGAGCAGTGCTGAGTGTGCTTTGAGCTGGAYGCTACGGGACCCTGAAAAGACACCCGGCCATTGCGGCTGGTCTCAACATGTATCTCTGATTCAAATCTTTTGTTGATCCTCTCTTTCTTAGTGGTTGGCCTTGGGGAAATGCCCCCTGAAAAAGCATAGTCTGAAGTTTCATTGATGAAACAGGCAAGAGGCAGATGCTGATTTTTATGTTCTTTTTTTCCTTTAGATATATCTAAATCCTCACTCCTCAAAGAAAAAAAAAAAAAAACAAGGATGCAAAACACTAACATGAAAGTTTATTTGCTAAAAAGAGAGGGACGTTTCTGCAACTCCCAAAGCAACTCAGGARCGTACTAAAAACTTCAGCGAGTGAGTCACCACCCCCCAGCCCTGGRCCAGAGTGACCCCACCGCTCACCAATGGATCTTAAGAAACTGTCACTACCGTGTGGTTCTCACTCAGAAGTTTTCACTCTCGCATTGCTAGCCTGCCCGTTCTGCMGAGCATGTGGATGAGCTGCTCGTCTCCTCCGAGGGCAACTGATGAGCCCTTGTGCACGTTGGGAACCTCCTAGGGAAGCAGCCAGTCCCCGGCTGCCTAGAGCTCCATGGGACAGTCTGTACCCCTGGTTGTCGGACCTCTCGTGTGTTACTGGGATGAATAAATAAGAGGGAACTGGTTGACGGGGGACAACAGGGCTGGGGAGTGAGTGTCATGACCCTTTGATGGAGAAGGATTTGGCATTGCATCTGTTGAGCTCCCTGCAGCAATATCCAAATGTTTCTGCCGAAGGTCAAGGATCCCCCAGCACAGGGGGGTGTTTCTAGCACAGCTCCAGGCTCTATCCCAAGACTTAGGGCCAATCCACCTAGCCCTCTGAAGTATCCTTGCTCGTAGCAATAGCAAATCTCACAACACCCCAGTCATGCCCTAGGTCTCCTTCTCACTCACCATGGGGGAGTTTAACATCTGTATTTCACACTGTTTTCATTTAGCCCTGCCTGCTTGTGATCCTCTCTGTCCATCTGAATTTCTCTCGTATTCACAGTGTCTTAAATAAACCAGTCCTCCTGAGATTATCCTCGCTCACGGCCTCCTCTCCAGACCCACAAGGGAGCCTGGCCACAAGTCCTCGACCAGTGCAAAACAGAAGCACATGACCTAAAGAAAGCTGAAATTCACCAAGGAGACATTTCTTGGCTGCTCCATCTTTCAGCTGAGGTCTCAGGCCCCTGATGGCCAGCACAGATTTACCAGTTCCACGTGGCACCAGCCCTTCCTCTTTCTCCACAACTATCAATAAGGGCTGGACAGCCCACACTGACTTTTCACCATTTTAAGCAGCTTTTGCTTAAATGTGAGGAAAATAATAACAAAGACAACCAGGAAAGTCAAGCAAGTTGGCAGAGCAAGTGCCAGGTACAGCAGAACCAGGTCAGCTGTCCTCCACTGGCAGTCCTTGATGATGTTCTCTGGCATGGCCCTGGCACTCACTGTCTTGGAGTCATACCTGCAAGTGACCTCCTGGCCATCGCGCACATGCAGCCCCTCAACCCGCTGCAAGGAGTCCCACCATCCCAGCAGGCAGCAGTTGTAAGGATTTCGACTGAGGTAGACCTCACGGAGACTCTTCCCCAGAGGTGTCCATATCACATCCTGTGGAAGAGCTGGGAGGCAGTTGTCACGGAGGTCAAGCGTATGCAGTTTGAGGATGCCGAGAGCTGCAGGGAAGGTTATCAGGGAATTTCCTGACAAATCCAAGCATATCAAGCTCTGAAAGCCAGAGAAGTCGATGTCCACCACAGTGGAAGAGAGATTGGTGTTTCTGAGAGACAAAACCTGCAAGGTTAGATTAAGATCCTGCAGCCATCCCAGGCCCCCAGACAGTACCTCCTGGTTGTCAGAGAGGTCCAAGTGTTTAAGTGGTGTCCCCTGGAAGGGATGACTGCCCAAACCTTGCAGGCCACAGCCAGCCAAGGAGACATGAGTTAAGGTTGTGATACCCCTGATGTCTACACAAGGTAGATTCTCCCCCTTGCCTAGTACAGCTTGCAGGGGACACAGGTCTACTCGGTTGTGACTGAGGTCAACTGTAGTGATCTTCTTGGTGTGGGTGAAAAATCCAACAGGAAGCACCGTCAGCCTGTTGGTGCTCAAATTGAATAGCTGCAGGTTGGGCACAGCCCCAGCAGGCAGGTCCACCCGCAGCTCTGAGAGACGGTTCTGGCTTAGGTCCAGGTCTGTCAGCATTGCTAGGGGGTTCCTCTTGGGCACGTGAAACATCTCCATACAGTTCTGGTTTAGTTTCAGGTGGGTCAGGGAAGGCATTTTTACCAGGAAACCCTCTGGTAGGTACCAGATCCGGTTCTGGCTCATGTCTAGGAGCTGTAAGGAGGAGAGATTGCTGTGGCAAATCTCATCCCAGAGGCTGACTGTAGTGATGTTGGTGGAATTGCCATAAGTGAGCAGGAACTGCACTGTGGCATTTGCCAGGGATGTGGCGTTGGCAAGCCGCTGGTAAAAGCTCAACTTGTTGTCCTTCAGCAGCAAGGAGCGCAGCTTATTGTGCCGGGGCAGCACAGGGAAGAACAGGAGATGGTTGTGGGACAGGTCCAGCACCTCCAGCTCAAAGAGGTCATTGCTTTCAACAGCCAGAAACCACTCAATGGCATTGTTGCTGATGTTGAGCACCCTGAGCTGTGTCAGGTCAAACTCAGCTATGCATGGGATGTAGTTGTAAGCCATGTTGAGCCTCTGTAGCTTCTGCAGCCCTTCAAAAGCTTGGTCAATCTCAAAGATGTAATTCTTCTCCAGGTTCAGCTCCAGGAGCTGAGTCAGGTTTGTGAAGGTGGATGAGTCCAGCCTCATGATGAGGTTCCTGGCCACAGACAAGGACTCCAAGGAGGACAGGTTCCAGAGCAAAACTGACACCATGTCCTCACTGAGGCAGTTTCCAGCCAGATCCAATTTCCTCAGAGCTGGTAAAGCAGAAAAAGCAGCTGCTGTCACCGAGTAGTTTGTGAAGAGGAGGTTGTCTGCCAAGGAGAGCACGTGGAGGCCTTGGCTGCCCAGGAATGCACCAGGTTCAATGAGCTCCAGACGATTCTTTGACAAGCTGAGATACCTCAATTTTTGGTATGGAAGCACAGAGGCATTCTCCAGGACCCGTATAGTGTTGTTATCGAGCAGCAGCTCCTCTAACTCATCTTGCAGATTTCTTGGGACTGAATTCAACCATCTTCCATTGCAGGTGGCAGTGCTCTGCACCTGAAGCAAGTAAATATGAAATATCTCAGAGGAAGGGCAACTTGAGGCACCAAGGAATAAGYCTATAACAAGGGTATGCACAGAGCACCAGCAGAATCAGACACTGCCCAACCTGTGTCTACATCAGGAGAGCTCCCACATCCCTCAGCTCTTGCTTTATAGCCAGGAATGTGCATGATACCATGAAGGTGGAAAAGGTACGTATGGAAAAGAGCTTAACCTTCAGCAGCAGAAAGAGAAGGAACAGCAATGAGGCACGGAGAGAAAGTGAGATGATGTGAAGGAGTTAAGCATGGATGGCTCCACAGTTAAAGCCTCAGCACCTCACGTTCAACTCCTAGTTCTGATGGAAGCCCAGTAACTGGGATAGAGTCTGGAGATGCTGAGAAGCCTGGGATTTATAGGGTAGGAGCGAGATATGAGAAAAGTGAGGGTTTGCAAAAGGCAACTCACTAGTCTGCAGCCCCCAGGAGATGATGCCCAGGCTGCGCCAGCCCCATTTCCCCATCCTGTTGCTAGAAGAACGAGACTCAGGGAAAGACCCAGGAATGGCACCTCCATTTCAACAACAGCAYTCCTGTGAAGACAGAAACAGAGGTGAGAGGATCAAAAGCTGCCACCTGCTCATCCTGGAAGGCCTGGGCTTCTCCCAGGAAGCCCATCCAAACACCAYCCCCACCATCCCCACTTTGAGGGCCTTCAGACAGGCCCTCCCACCTCCTCCCCAGCAGTTACCCTGTCTGGCTGCTGCCTCATGACTGGGGTCAAGCTCAAGGCTCAGGGCTTCCATCCTCTTTCAGTTACTGCCTGCTCTGCCTGAAGCCACAGCTTCCATTGCTCCCCAGTGGGCACTGGGAGGTGATGGGCAGCACAGGCGCCCAAGTGACCTCAAAGAAGCAGACGCCCTGGCCTGGTGAGAGGCCTGAATCCCTGCACGCTTCCCAGCTTGAGCCCTACACTGTGGGGAAGTGCATAGGCTTGGAGATATGGGGAACAGCCCCAGTCCCCAGGTAGGCAGCGCTCCCCACGCCGGCGTGGGGTCACAGAGAAGATAGAATCTCTCATAGAGAAGATTCCTCCTTGGGAATCAGCCCCAAGGCTAAGGCGGCTTCTCAGGTTTGCTCGCCTGGCTGGGGACCTGAGGGCTGGCCAAGGAGAGGGGCAGGGAGGCGCAGGCGGGGGGCGGGAAGGGCCGGCATGGCCGCCGCGCGGGGCTGAGGGCGCGGAGGGCAGCGCCGCGGGCAGGGCGCCGCCGCTCGCGCACGCACCCAGCGGCCGCGCGCGGGCAGGCGGTTTCCTGCCCTCCGCGGCCTCRCAACGGCCCCTGCGAAACGCTCCCCGCGGCCGACACCAACCCCAAAAGGGCCGGGTTTTCAGGGGCTGCTCCCCCTCTAGCCCCATCCCCTAACAGCCTCCCCGAGGCCTCTTGCTGCCTCCCAGCGAAAGTCGCTGACTTTCAGCGCAAGGTGCCAGGTTACTCATTTTGTGGAACTGGGGTTGCTGGCATTTGCATCTGGGCAAAAGCTGAACTTGAGGCAAATGAGCAGYGAGGTCTTGACGAGGGCTCAGCACTTTCACAACTGCTGGCATTTGWAGAAAAAAATGAGAGGTTATTTTTGGTAGCCTGAGTAGCTGGAGCTGGAATCTAGCACCCCATATGGAGAGGGGGAGGCGTGCTGGGCTCCCTTCTCCCTGGGAACAGCCTAACTGACACCACGTTGAATACCAAAAAATCTGATGCTGGTGCCTTATCACATCAGTGCTTATCAGTCCTATGGGGGTGAAAAGAAATGCCTCCGGTATCTCCAGGAGTCTGGTGGAAAGGAGCTTGTGCCCCTTAGACCTTCAGGACCTCGGGCCAGGGCACGGCTGGCGGCAGGCGTGGGTGGATTGACCTACTGTGTCCTCATTGCGCCCCTGTGCCCACCAAGCCGGGGCTTAACTTCTAGTTTGTCTTTGGGCACAGACCCCTCTCCTTGGCAGAAGCTCCTGCTTGCTCTCAGTCGGCTCAGCCTTTCTCCCATCCCTTCAGCACCCAGATGGGTTCTCCCCCAACGTCACAAGCTTCTTCCCATTGCAGTCCCCCAGTGCCAGAGGCACTCGCCACCGCAAAAGCCAGGCCACAGGATGGCACCCACAGCGTTGACCAGGGTCCTCTACAACCATGGGCATCAACGATGTGCAGCCACCGGGTACAGAGAGCGATGCCGAGAGGCTTCCCCACACTCCTGCCTGGACTTTCACTCCAGTTGACCAACGCCTGGGTGGGGGACAAGCCTTGGSTGGCCAATACTTACCGCGTGTGGCGATGCGCAGGGTTCGTGACGACTCATCTTGCAGCTCGTTGCCCGCTCTGCCCGGTGGCGTCTCGGGGCCCAGGGGAGCTGCCGCCCGCTGCGTTTGGGCCGTTCTCTGCCTTAGCACTAATATAGCCTTTGCGGAAGGAGCGAACGGAAACTGCAGTCACATGGAGGCAGCGAGCGCGGCGAGGCGCTTCACTTACTGATCTCAGCACTTACACCCAGGGTCATGCACTCACCAAGGGCTCGGAGCGAGGAGGAAGCGAGGCGGGCAGYGGGGCCGGGTGGGAGAGGAAGGGGAGCAGCAGGGAGGAACTGGGCCCCGTGAGGGCTCTCCAGCTCCTCCTGAAGACGGGCTAGGGCAGGGGGAGATGTTTGCACCAGAGCTTCTCTGCACAGGACCCAACAAACCCTGCAGGGTCGCGCCTTGAGTTTGACCCATGGCAACCCTGCGCAAGCCCTACTGCATAGGAAGAGTTGAGGACACCGCCAAAGCTGCACGCAGCACCCTCGCGCTGTCAGTCACTTGGGGCTGCCCATATAGCCCCCATACCACCCCCTCGCCCAGCGGCACCCTCAACAACAGAGCAAGTTGGCTTCTGCTGTCTGCGAGGACTGGCTCTCGTGCTCCATCCCAGCCCTGCACCATGGGAGGGGGATGGTCCTGCCCTCTGCTCCTGGAGCTGAGCCCTCTCCCCAGCCCATGTCATGGCCCTGCTGGCATCAATCACGAAGCCGGACCTTGAGGTGGGGAACCCTCCTCTGGGCTTCCTTCTCACTGCAGTCCACTTCCTGGCTCTGCACCTCCCCTCCTACCCCACACAGCCCCTCTTCTCACATCCTCACACCCCCCGACCTCCTCTCATATCCATCTCTCTCCTCTTCCAGCCTCCCGTGGTAAGGCAGCTCAGCTGGATTTGTCCAAAAACAAAGGACTCAAGACTGACAGCTCACTGCAGCAAGAAGGTGGCCAACCCTGCAGCCTCCTCTCTCTTAGAGGAAAATGGAAGACGACCCACACCAAAAAGGCAGCTGATCCACCATGGTCTTGCAAAGTCCCTAGTGAGATAGCGAGAGCAGCACATCCCACCAGGTAATGTTCAGTCCTCTGCTTCCTCAGCCTTGCACCACCAGGACCTTCTGCAAAGATGTGAAATAGTTGGGAGATGAACCCTTTATATTGAAGTACGCCAGACTGGAGAAGCTCAAGAGACAACATGGATTGGGACACCATCCACGCTCCAGTATTAGGGTTTCAAGCGGTCTTCAATGTCCTGCAGCCAGCATGCACACCTAGAGAGCTTTTTTGGGTGCTTCTTCACCATAAATTTCATTTCTTCTCTGGAAGGAGACTGAGCTCTCTCATGTCACTGACAAAAAAACCCTGTGGTTTCATTTCCTTCATTTTCAAGGAAGTTTGAAGAGTAAAAATCAAGAAGGAAAATAGAGAAGTGTTAATGGTCCAAGCAGACTGCAACAGATTACAGCAGCTGTGAAGCTGAGTGAGATTCCTAGAGCATTGCTTTAGGCCACATGGAGAGCAGAGCCCTGTGCTTATAACCCCATTCCTTCTCGCAAACAGCTGAAAGGGGCCCATCCCACACCAAGACCACTCATGTTAGGGCAGGAAGGAGCAGTCAGAGATTTGGAAGAGGGCAAGGAAGTCCGGAGACGTAACACACAGGCATCCTCAACTGAGATAACACCAGTGCCTTGGTAGATCCACGTGGAATCTTCTGGCTGAGGCCCTGCTTAGTACGTGGTGCACTGACACCGAGCGAGGCGGTTCCCCAGGGACGTGGTCCTTGGCCCAGGAGGAGCTGGGCGAGGGAGCAGAGTCAGGGAGCTCCTTGGAGCGCTCTCCTTCCCGCCTCCCTGCCATGGGGCTCTGTGGGGCCCCGCAGCTCTGCGCACCCTCCCAGCCGTGGTGGAGCACCTGGCAGCATGATTTATCTCACGCTTTCCCCACATCCTGCGGCCAGATGGTTTCAAGAACGTCCTGAAGCTGACACTTACCCCCCTCCCTTTTCCTTTCTGCCATTCCTCTTGAGCTCTTCTACCCTTATCTGGCCAGCTCTCCCATGAGGAGGGTTTGGTGCCTGGTTGGTTTTTCTTCCCTCCGGAACTGCCAGGAACTGCTGATCTGATCAGCTTGTCATCAAGCTTCAATCTGGGTCAATGATGGGGAGGATTAAAGTCAAGGAGGTTCTGCTGCTTGGAGCAGGTTGCACAAGGGCAGCTGCAACTCCTGGATTTCTTTGAAATGACTGGGATTCTCCATGAGGCTTTATGCTCCCTCTATTTCTCCTTTTCTTTTCCCCTTTCATCTTTTTTTTTTCTCTTGCTTTCAGGTATAAACCAAGAGAAGAGCTAAAAGAAGGAAGCCTGGAGAAACACGGCATTGCAGACTGTCCCACAGCTCACTACACTGCGGAAACACCCAGAGCAGAGTCACTTCAAGGTAAAATGGATGGAGTGGAGAAGGCAGGTCCTGAGGAAGATTCAAAACTTCACGCAGGATGGAGACAGATGTACATCCTATGGCTGGGAATGCTGAGGAGGGTCTCCTGCTGCCATCTGTTTCTCTTCTTGTGAGGCCAGGGGTTTCTGAACCGCTCCCAGCCCTGCACTGGGCAAAATGAGCTGCATGAGCTCGAGAAGCTGGCACATCTGGAGCCAGTTGGACAAGGAGGAGATGTGGGGCATCTGTGAGGAGAGAGACAGGGGCAGCAGGGCAAAATGAAGGCACAGATGACATTAGGGAAGGAGAGGAGAGGAGATGGCAAGTCCTTGTTTGTTTCTCCATGCTCCTCTTTGCCTGTTCAGGAGGTACCTATGTATTGACCTGCAGGTGTCAGGTTTGACCCTCCCTGTTGGTTTCCACAGTGCAATGTGGTACCCAGCAGAAGACACTGTGGGAATGGAGAAAGTGCAACAGAAAGCAGAAAGCAATTCACGGCCACCGAGGAGACCTCAACACGCTCCTCTGATCCTGCAGGAAATAGGGTTTCTTCTGAAGTGGAACCACCAAGAGAAAGGGTCACTCTGGAAGTCATCCAGAGTGCAGTGGCCACAGCCTCAGCTAAGCCAGGGCAAAAGGAAACAGAAATTGTTCTTGGTYGGCTTCACTCGCTCCCACAGCGATGGAGAACTGGAGGTAATTGAACATGATTCTCCAGCAAGGGAGGACAGGAGCCTCAGGATCCTATAGCACATTACAGGGACACCTCTGGCTTGTGCTTGGCCTCTGCCCCTGCTGCT